CTTTTGTGGCCCGTGGCCTTACCCTTTGGTAATGATTTCTTGTTATCATCAATCATTTTTTAGCTATTTCCCAGAACAGGCTGAATGTGTCAGCTCAATGTGATGTTTCCACATTTGTCACCAATGTCACTGACTCTGTCGCTCATTCTGCTAGTAGCTGCAGCGCTGTTTACTGTCCATCACCTGTGGCTCACACACTTAAAAGCATCTGTTTACTCTTGCAAAAAGCTTTTTTCACTAATGTCACGTTCCTGATAAAATACTGGTAGCTAAGTTGACTGAGCTCACGCACAGCACTGCTGAAAGACATGTGGAGACCTTTCTTATTGGTTTGATAGTCATCAGCCAGACACCGGGGCTGGTATGCTCCTTTCATCTGCAGCCTTTAATTTCTAAAAATGTTCAAAGAGCTATAAAGAACTGTACGTGTCCTGTATGCATGTCGTGATGCTCAACACTGAGCTGGCTTATCAAGTTAGTCAGTACTAATCAACACAGAAAAGGTATTTTAGTTACCTTTATAATAGTAACTGTAATATTTAGTTGAAGTGGCTGTGGCTTTTGTAGACTGGCTTCTAAGTGGAGTTAAAAGCTGTTAAAACTGTTGTTTTACAAAGACAAACAGTGAGCCCAGCTGTAGGTTTCAACACGGCAGAAAAAAGGCATTCCTGTCTTTTAGCGAAGCTGCTGGGCTCTGCTATGTGATTGGAGCAGTCGCTTCAAGCTCCAAGCATGTCAGGAAATGATTAGAACGCACTGGCTACTTCAGTTTGAGTCTGAAACAGTTGCTGCCTCATTCTGATTATTGTACATTGCCACTACTTGAATTATTCAGTGTCTTCAATTAGCATTATGCTGCATATAGGTCATGACATCTCTAATAATCACCAATATTTTGTTGGTTTTATCATTTCAAACTTCATTCTCTGAAGCTTCCTGCTTCTCTGCAGAGACAGCACAGACAGCTTGATTGAGGATATTGTGGCCTTACATTTATGATAAGCTGGGTAATAAAATGAAATGCCATATTTCCATGTTTTTCTGTTATTTTCAACCTCATTCTTGAGTTTGCCACTCTTATTCCCATTCCGGTCAATGCAATACCTCAAATCCAATATTTGGATTCAAAAATGAACTGAGTAGGTCAAGTTTATTATGATCTACCGGCATGCATTGACTTTTTGCCTTCCAGGTGAATAATTGCAAAGCATTATTACTGTTATAGTAGGCAGTAGATATTTACTATCAGCTGACTCGGGGTTGAGAATGTTTTTACAACCTCTCATCAAGGCAAAGTGGATTAAATGCTAAAAAAAACACCTTAATGTGTCTTATCACTAAATTTCACTTGAAGTATCAAAATTAAAAATACTTAGTCTGTGAGAAAATGTTATTGCTATATGGATTCAAGACGCTGTTTGTGAGTCTGGAGTTATGTGACCTGATTTCCCTGAGACAAGAGGATCTAGTGATGGTCTCCAGAGGTGGCAGCCAATGATTTTCTGGGCAGTGTTAATTACTAGCCTTCCTGTTCTCACTCGTGACCCTGCCTACCACAACACCCAGGCAGTAGGAGAGGACGCTCTCCACTGAGGAACAATAGAAGGCCAGCAGCAGCTGGGACAGGGGCGCCGAGTCTAACTGATTGTTACCGGTTGGCGAGGAAATCTTTGATCCATGACCAGGTGGCAGGGGGGATGTGAAGGTGGTCCAGTCTTTTGCTGAGGATGTCTGGGATTATTTTGTTGAATGCTGAGCTGTAGTCCATGAAGAGCATCCTTACGTTGCGCTCTGTAAAGGGTGATGGTGATGGCATCCTCCTTGGACCGATTTGCTCTTTAAGGAAACTGGTAGGGGTCGAGGGAGGAGGGCAGACAGTGTCTGATGTGCTGAGGCACTGTCTGTTTGAGACACGACTACAGACGTGAGGGAGAGATAAAGGATGATAAAGAGTGAAAACCGTAAATCCCATCCACGACCACTAGTGCATCCACACTGCATATGCAGGTGAAGACACAGCAAAGTCATTTGGAAGTTTTGATGCTTTACAAAAAACAAAGATTTGTCGTTTAACTTTCAAAATAGTATTTCTCAACAAAAGATAGTGCTGCACCTCATTTGTCTGTCGGTGACAGGAAAAGGACTGCTGAGTTATCACACTGTAAACTTCTTTGGAAGTAAATCTTTCTCACTGCAGACATTTGGGCTTGTTACAGCAGGAGAAACACAGGTGCAGCTTGTAAGATTATCGATGGATTTAAATATTCCAGTAAAACACGCCGGCCGACATACCGGTGCATCGTCAGGGAAACACCTGAATGCAAGTTGTAATTAACGGGGTTAGCTACACATTGTGTTTATTAAGTCAGCATGGGATAGTTCGATTGTGGAAATGTTTTTTAAACTTCTTTTCGAGATCTTTGCATGTAAGGTCAAAAGTAGCATCACTAACTGGTGATACTTTCAAAGTGTTGTTGAGTTGAGAGTGAGCTCGTTCATTGTTCCGTCTGAGCAACTATAGGAAGTACAAGTGTAATAAATGATGAAGTGTACATCACATCTTTTGTACTAGATTACTGCTGTGCAGTGTTGGGG